TTACCTCGAATGAATTATAATATATAATTACAATTTATTATTACAATATATAATTACAATATATAATTACAATATAGACCTTCCACCTTATTCTGGTGACGAAGACGATCGTAGTGATGGTAGTATATGGGATAATGATGTGCATGAATTTTATGATGAAGATAATCATCATCAAACGCAAGAGACATATAGTGAAGCAGAAGAATTATATGTTGGTTCTTATGAAGATGGCATAGGTTTAAGTGATGATGTGAAACATCTTGACGAGCAAATGGAGCAAAATGATCTTCCTAGTGATAAACTTAGTGACCTGCGTGAAGACATTTTTAATGAAGACTCGTTAAATGATATTAACGATTTTGTTGAGAACCTTGATGAGTCTTCATTTTACGATCAGACGTTTGATAACGATAAAATTATTAAAAGTGAAATAGATACTGAAACATCAGAAACTAATGAGCAAAACACTTCCAAGGTATCAAAAGAGTTTGAAGAGGATGTAGATGTCGAAACATCAGAAATAAATGAGCAAAACACTTCCAAGGTATCAAAAGAGTTTGAAGAGGATGTAGATGCCGAAACCTCAGAAACAAATGAGCAAAATACTCCCAAGGTATTAAAAGAGCTTGAAGAGGATGTTGATGATAATATACCATCAACAACAGGTTGACTAAAATATCTTATATTTTTAATTTACTTATTAAAATATGACTATTTTGTTGAACTTATACATATTTTGTTTTTTAGAATTTGATGACGGTAAGGAATATGATTTCTCAAGTGTGTATGATTCAAAGGAAAATGATCTGTTCGCTCCAATCGATGATGAATGGGCGGCTGAATATACTGCAAGTGAGTTAGATCCAACGATAAATGACAATGAGATAATAGTCTCCCCAGGGAAACGTGAGAGACCTTATACGAACGATAATGAAGGTATTATTTAGATGTCATTTAATAAAGTAACTGATGACGTAATTTATTAAATTCAATTTATTATTACTTATTAAAAGACACTAACAAGAAGGCCCGTATAGATTGAATGGTTTGGAATATCTTTTCTCCTTATTCTTTATACCAGCCCATTTGGATCTCTTTTTGATTTTTCTTTTATTATTTTTTTCTTTCTTCTGTTTATTCATTTATTATTTCGATCCCTTAAATTCGTACGTTTTTTTTTCGTATATTGCTTTTATCTACGTTTACAGCGGCTCATTTGAACCGTCCTATCTGTGTACATATAATTAGAACTAACCAAACACATTCATTCTCATCATGTTTTGCTGATACTAAAAAAAATAAAACATTCACAATTACTTGATATTTCGATATATTGGGAGGTACGGTTACAAAAAAGTGTAAATGAAGGTCGTATTATTATCTAAATTGTTTAAAATATAGTCATCACACAGATTAATTCTT